GAATTTAACGACAAACGGACAGATAACAAAATACCCTAAGTCTACAATCAAACAAGAACAGGAAATAAGGTGAGCTATCAGTTCTAAGTCCTTCAATCCTTACTTATATAAATATATTGGTGTAGATATGATTTGAAAACAAAAACAATTTTAAAGTATAGGAAAATAGTTTTTAAAACAATTAAGGATGAAAATAAGTTTGATAAACGTTTAAAACAACTTTAATGGCATGGTAATTTGAAAATATAGAAAATCTTTTTGATAACAAATTGTAAACCACATATGATTAGTACTATAGCTTTTTTAGTTCATCTTGTATCCCCCACCCATAAAACGTATAAAAACATTTAAAAGGTTGATTAAGCGGTACGAACTCACTTGTAGTGAGTGATGCGACGGTAGGATCAGTTAAGGAGGTTGAGTGTCAATTGTGGACATGAGCATCAACGGGTCTTATTAAGCTTATAATAACATATATATATGTATGTAATTAGAGCTTGGAATAGCTATTTATTACATTGGAACTGCTTTAGGGACTAGTAAACACTTATTATGAAGTGTTGCAATCATATAACATTGTACACGAGTGGTATATGACTACCCAAGGGAGTGTCTGCTCATAGTGCACAACAAATGTGTGTTTGTGGTGGCATACATGAGTGTGCGGCCGTACAGTGGGTGTGTGCGGCCGTACACAGGAGTGTGCGCCCATACACTCCAAATTTGTGCCCAAAACGTCGATTTTTGAGGTGTTCTTAAGTCATATGAGTAAATGAAGGCCAAACTCTTCACTTTGGAGAGTTTTGAAGGTGTGTGCGGCCACCATATGAAGGTGTGCAGCCGCACTCCTTCAAAGGATGAAGAACACATGAAGAACACTAAGAACACTATGAGTTTTAAGCTTAGATTCAGATGTTTTACCAGTAACAAGCTGATTGATGGGGTGATTCACATTCTTGAGGGCCTTAGGGTGTTCTTTGAACGAGATTTTTAGAGAGAGAAAGTAAAGAGAGAGGTAGAGTGCAACCAAGGAAAGAAAGAATGAATGAAGGGGGTCCTCCCCTATATACACAGGTGAGTGTGTGGCTGGAAATGGGTGTGCGGCCATACACACCTGTGTGTGCCCGTACACTCAAGTGTGTGGCCGCATACTCCATGTTTTGGAGTGCTTGGCCCGATTTTGCTTATATGCATTGTGTTATCCTGTTTCTAGGTTCCTACCACATTTGTATTGCGTTTAGAACGCTCCAATAGACCCCAAAAGGTGTTGAAAGCTAACAAAATGAGTCTAAATTAGACTCAATTGGTCTCTTGTACAAGAAAGAAATTTCGAGATGTCATAATATAATGTAATAACAACACAAATCTTCAATCTCTTGTCTTCGAAAGCAAGTACCACAAGTGTAGTACCTCTAACAGCTCACAAACACCACAAGCAAATGGAGAGGCAAGAGAGAGAGAGAGAGAGAGAGAGGGGAGAGGCAGGAAATCGACTCTAAGCCTTCTTAGGATCAAGTGGTCGATTTCTCTTAACCAAGGGGTCTTTATATAAGGTAGAGATTAGGGTTTCAGTCCTTATCCTAATCTAGTTGGTTGCCCACCAAGCAACCCATAAAATAAGTCTATAACCCTTATCCTTGGACGAATTCTAGGGCCTTATCCCCTTGAATTCGTCCACCCCTTCCTTGGGGAATCCATTGCACTAATTTGCAACTATCACATAATTACATTCAGCCCCTGTAGTTTAAGTAATTACATATGATCACAAAATTAGTTCTGAATTAATTATTGACCAATATTAATTAAAAAAATATGATTTCCCCTTTAATATATTATTCCTATAATATATTAATAAATTATAATAACCTCTTTCTTTATTATTTCTCCAGTTACGTTGCTTTGGTGAAGGCAACCCAAAAGGACCATGCACAACCGAGTCAAGTACTTACCAAATATGGTTACGGACTTAGACACTAATCCAACGATGTGTTACGTGGGTTTTATATGCGGTATACTCTAGGGCGTAAGTCATGCGGGTGCAAGGATGAGTACGCCCATCGTACTCTCAAAGTTCTAAAACCCTAAAATTAGGGTCAGCCACTATATAGGGAACATGTTGGTTCATACCCTAGCCTCCATAGACACTCTTTTACCCCCAGAAACCCTAGAAATCCGTATTCCCTCCATTTTTGGGTGTGTTTGGCCTTGGAAAGCTCATTTTTGGCAAAAGAAAAGCTAGAAGAAGAAAGGAGAAGTTGTCAAAGAAGGAGAGGAACAATTGGAGCTTGTAGATCTGGAGAGATATCATCCTTTGGAGCTTATTTGAGGTATAAAGCTTCTTGCTTGTAAATTATTTTGCATAGATGTAAGTGTTGTGAAGTTTTGGCATCATTCTTGTCCCAAAAGTCCTCATCTTGATTCATGCTTTGTGTTGGCCGAGATTATTTGTCCTTTCAGACCTTTGGAGAGGTCTTGAGTGAGAAAAATGAGGTCCCAAGGGCTGTGGTTGTTCCATGTGTGAGATATATAGGTCTTAATGGATTAAGACCTTGGATTAAGAGCTTTATGGACGTCCCAAGTGATAAAGTTTGAGACTTTATGAATCTTAGGCAGATTTGGCCTAGGGATCTGAAGTTTGGGCTTAAGAGCTTAAACCATTAAGTCGTTATGTGAAATTGTTGAGCAACAAGGTTACGCACCGCATAACCTTTGAGTACGCCCCGCGTAGAGAGTAAGTGCCCCGATCCCCTTTGCGAATCAATGCTGTACGCCCAGCGTACGAGAGAGGGTACGCCCAACGTACTCTCCCTGATTGGACTTCCATGTTGGGCCTTAGAGTTTGGGCTGTTTTTGGGTTGTTGGTTTATAGGCCATGACTAGAAATCTATGGATAGAGTATTTTGGGCCCAATTATTGTTATGGACCTTGGATCTAGGCCCATTTGGTGAGGAAGACCCAATTTAGTAAATTGGGCCAATATTGGGCTTTGTATAAGATTTGGACTTTCGGCCATTGGTTGGCTTGGGAGCTTACCTAGTTTTGGGCCGGTTTGAGTTAAGGGTAAAATGGTCAATTTACCCTTGGAAGAGTATTGTACTTGGCCTAATGTTTATTTTCTTATGATGGCTAGTTCGAAATTTTTGGTGAGTCGGTGATTCGGGAATCTGCTTCTTCAGTTCAGAGTTTCGGGAGTGAGAGGTAAGTTATCCTCACTATATCAACAGGGTCTAAGGCACCAAGACTGGCCCTTTATCGGATTGATATCCGGGTATTTTTGTTATGTTATTGCTTTGATATGTTTGCATCCTGGTAGCTAGGATGGTATATGTTAGAGACCTGGTTAAGATCGGTATCCTGATATGTAGGGTGATGCTATGCTAGTGACCGGTTAGGTCGGTATCTGGTTAGGATGATGATATGTTATGTGATCTGTTTGATCGGCTTGTTGACTGTGAACTATTATATGATTGTATGTTTATGTGCACATGGTTGTTTGGACTAAAGTTGGGTTGAGGCGGGTCCTACTTTGTGCTGTAGGCCAAGATACCCAGGGCGGACCGGTTGTTCCGAAGGCCCAGCTAGCGGTCCTGATAGGCTGTAGGCCCCACGAGGGCGGACCAAACGTGCCGAGGCTCGGAGAGTGGACCAGGCCGACTGAAGGCCCGATGCGGGCGGACCAGTCATACTATAGACTCAGAGAGTGGACCACGTGGGTTGAAGGCCCGGTGCGGGCGGACCAATCACACTGCAGACTCGAGGGACATGACTAGACTCGAAAGGTGGAACTGGAGGACTGAAGGCCCGATACAGCGGACCAGTCACACAGTAGACCCGAAATGCATGACTGTTCTGTGATTCGATATGATATAGTATGTTATGTGTGTGGTATATGTGGTTGGTATTTTGGGGGTATCTCACTAAGCTTTCGGGGTTACAGTTGTGATTTAATATTTTTCAGGTTCTTCAGGAGACCGTGGCAAGGCAAATGTGTGATCGTACCGCTCCTCGTGTTTATGTTTTATGATATCGACCTGGGAATACTCTGATAATAAATGTATTGAAAACCTTTTTGTAATAACGTGATTAAACTAGATTGTTTTTGAAAAGTTAAATTTTGTTGAAATTTTGGTCGTTACATCATGGTTTATGGATAATATTTTGGACAATCAAAAATGAAAATTTTCTTTTGAAATTTCGGTCGTTACATAAGAAGTTCATGAAATGTTAAATCAAAACCACATACTTAAATGTGACGAAAGAAAACCTAAAATCTCAATCCGTAATTTATCGAAAGAAAACCCAGCAGTAATGACTTGCGTGTAGAACTAGTAATGCAAGGCATTGAATGTAAGTTCTTCTTCCTGAGGGAGATGAACCTTTGATTAGCTAATTTACTGGTAACGCACGGCACTAAAGCAAAGAAGTTGGTTCACTGATGTTGTCAACGAGATAATGGTTGATCATGGTTTCGTGATTTGCATCGGAGGGCTTGTTGACTTCGCATTTGTCGGCAAATCAACGGAGATTTGAGAGATTGTATTTAGTAGATGAAAATAGATCGATGTGATGGAGACCCAGATTTGTAGTTTCCAGCATCGATGAATGCGTCGACGTAGTTGGCTTTAGGGTTGATTTTGGAGAACAGGGAAATATGACTTTGAACTGATCATAAATGAGTGGGGGTGTTGGCGGAGGGGAAGGAATGAGGGTATGTGGGAACAAGTGTTATAATAAAATAGTTTCAGAAATAATTTTCAATATAAAAAAAATATAGTAAGGGTATAATATTCTTTTTATATGATTATGTGACCAAATAGGCAACAAAAAGAAAATATATAGATGATCCGAGTACAAATAAAAAATTAGAAACCAAACGTAAAATTTAACCACACCACCGAACCATTTAGTAATTTGTTCTTGCATTTATTTAGATAAATTTACTCATACAATGGTTAAAAGCCAAACTTCAATTCAAACCATAAAATCAGACCCTAAAACTTTTAACAAACAACGACAACCACTAATAGTAAAGGTATGAAAACTGCGATATAAGTAACAACCACAAATGAAATAAACAAAGGAAGGAATAGTAGCCATTGCACAGCTCCCCAGTAATTCGATCCAGAAGAATACTTCATTTGAATGGTCTTTAGAATAGACGTCCCAGTGTTACCGTTGACCTCAACAGCAGATCCGACCATCAGCTTTGACTTTTTGTTCTCAATCGACTTAAACTTTATTTTGGCCTCCAAATCAACCATGAAATCAATCACTTTCCCAGCGTCAAACAATGAAACATGTTTTACTCCCAGTGTCCTACGCTGTTCAACGTTTGAAAACAAGTCTTGAACCACCGCAGAGGCTTGGATATGGTTAACCTTTCCGTTCCCTTGATAAAACCCTTGAATGATCATAAAAATGGTTATGTTTCGTGGGATACAAGTGATGGTGAGATTTAGAGGATCCTCGTAGTAAATCCCTACCCCAAAATTCTCATTCTTGAATTTCAGGTCAATATCGATTGTGGTGGTGTTAGTCAACGAACTTGATGTTTTGTTAAGCGAAGAAACATACAAATCAGCCACTGAAATGGTAGGATGATCACGAGATAGTAATAGGACTGTCAAGTAATATGAAACACCAAATGAAAAGAGAATTGAGAGTCTTAAATATCTAATGCTTGCTTCAACTATCTTTGTGAGTGATCGTTGTTCCATTACTTGCGTAGCATACTGGGAATATTTCAATATCATACTGGAGGTGTAAAGAGAATGAGATAGCTATGTTGATAAAAAAGAAACTAGTCTTTTGTTTTTTCTTATAGACCAATACTTGTATCATCAAACTGGCAACAACTGGTGTATATATATATATATATATATATATATATATATATATATATATATATATATATATATATATATATATATATATATATATATATATATATATATATATATATATATATATATATATATATATATATATATATAGTAGTATCTTTCTACAACATGCAAGCCAAACCTTATTAAACGAAAGACCATAAATTGAACACAAGTACAAACCCATTTAGAATTGAATAAACAAAAGCCATGTACTGAACATGTAAAATTATGGAAATTAAAAAACACAAAAAATGAAAATAAAATGATTCCGTATTAGCAAAATTATGGAGTATGGATAAAAAATTTCCTATAAGATTGTTGTCTGATAAACAACTTGTGATACATCATTTATCTATTTAAGAAAATCTAGGAGTTTTGCTTTGAGCAACACACGATTTTACTTCTTCAGCAAATATTTGGTTTCAGAAAAACCCTTACATCTTCGGCACCACTCTTTATAAAATCCTTGGTGTTTTTGGATGTTTTTTTAGGTTGATGGAGATGTAATTTTTTATGCCACATCGTTTTCAATTTAAATAACAAAATTTCTATAGCAATTTTTATCGCCATATTTTGTCAGGAAGAATCACGAACCAGTGGCATTGTCTATATCGAATTTGTAGACTTATTCATGTTTCTTTTAAGAATTTCTTTTGAATGTATGTTTTTCTTTGATAGTGTCCCTTACTCACTTTTCTGTTTATCAAAATCTCTTAGATTAAAAGATGATTGTTTTTTCTTTAGTCGATCTCTATGATTTTTTTAGTAGTTGTACTAAAAAGGTATTCATTGGGTCCTGTACACAGCATACATGTTGCAGTCCCTGCCAATATTTTCCTCGGTATATATGCATCTCTGGTATATTTGCAGGTTTTAGTTTTAATGTTTACAAATTATTTAACTTATGGACCGCGCTTGTTTTTAGCTGTTCGGGCAATTTGGTTGCAACTAACTCAGCGTTTCAATTGAACAACATTAATATCTTGGTGTGTGTGAAATTTTACTGCAAAAAGAATGAAGAGATAGAATATGATTGAGAAATAAAGAGCTTGGAACTAGCCAACCAAACTAACTTGATTTTCAACTAACTGATGACATAGTAGCCGTGATGACGATTTTGTAGGTATAAAGGACTAAAAAACAATTTATTAGATGTGAATTTTTATATAAAAGAACGGAAAACAAATTGCATAGTTACAGAAAAAAATAAACGAGAGATTTACTTGTGGTGCGCTTGATTTCATTTTCAAATGATTTTTTTTTTTATGCAAAGAGAATGAAAATCCTTATATATGGGTATGTTCTCAAAAGACTATTTTGGTTAGCCGTTTCCAAATGAAAAAAAAAAAAACAAATCCTAGAAGTTTCGATCTGACAGGATGAGCATGTGGGTCTATGCCATTGCAAAGCAACTTCAATTCAAAACAAACAAACAATTGCAAAATTAGAAGTGATTGTGTGTTTGAAGAAGGGAAAAATAGAGATAGATACATGTGAAGAGTGAAGAGTGTTGTGTATTTGCAAAATCAGTTGAACTGTACCAAATGTAAAGGATATACATCATCTATTGAATGTTTAGAGATCTCTCATGGAATCCTAGAAACCCAGAAACTGGAATAAACATGTTGCAACATCCCAAAATTTACGATCAATTTTTTTTTTTTAACATAGAAATTATAAAATCATTTGTCTGAAAATAACCATAGTATCAACTCATAAATAAACCAAAGTATCCATAATCATAACACGTCATGATAACACAATGTAAGAGTATAAATCCTAAAGATCATAAGTGCGGAAAATCCTAGTGTGATGCGCTGCAATCAAGTCGGTTCCTTTCCCTTCGAAAAGTAAGTACCTGAAACCGAAACTGTAAACCGTAAGTACGAAGCTTAGTAGCTCCCTTTCGGTCTCTTTCAACCGGTAACTGTCTAACATATCTAGGTGTTGGCCTCCCCTTCGGACACTTTCAGCTGGTAGCTGCCTAGCATATCTGTGTGCTGGTCTACCCCTTCGATTCTTTCCACTACAAGGTAAATGATCATTAGCGGCGACAATAGTCGCCGGTAATAAGTAGGGTTGTCGCCGGTAATAGCAATAGCGGCAACGCGTCACTGGTAATAAGTCATCGCTACTGTTTCGTCGCTATTAATGAAGTTGTTGCCGCTAATGATGCATGCCGCCGCTAATGACCAAGTTACCGGTATTGATGTGTGTTGCTGCTAATAACATTGTCGCCGATAATAACACCGTCGTCGGTAATAGTGTCGCCGGTAATAATAATTTTCATTTTTTTATTTTTATTTTTAATTAAATATTTTGGTTGCCGGTAATAATGTCGTCAGTAATTACATAACAACATTCGATTAAATATCAAAAATAATATTATCGATGCTAATTACATAACAAGCATTCGATTATAATTAATTGAATATCAAAAGTCATAATATCCGATTAAATATAAAAGTAATAATGTTGTCTGGTAATTACATAACATCCGATTAAATATAAAATGTAATAATGTCATCCGGTATTAGTGTCACCGGTAATTACAAAACCAACCAAAGTTTTACAATCTACCAAGTAGCAAAGTGTGACAACGTATGCAAATAAAATTCATCCCTACATACCATCATCTTGGTTTCCATCATTTTCTCGATTATTTTGAGATTGAAAAAACAAATAAAGTTCATCCCTACATACCGGGTCGTTGAGCACCGCACGAAGATTTATCAAACGTAAACAAAAACTACCAAAATGCATTGCTATTTTTAAACTAAGACAAAAAAAAAAAAAAAACAAAGTGCATTGTTATTTTTTGCACTTGGGACAAAAACCTAATTACCAAACTTTTTTGCAAATAATCACCACAAAACCAATATTACCAAATCAACATGCGTTTTACGATGCTAAAGTAGATTGCTATTTTTAAACTAAGACAAAAAAAACCAAAGTACGTTGTTATATTTTGAACTTGCGACAATAATCTAATTACCAAACTTTTTAGCAAATAATCACCACTAAACAAGAATTACCAAATCAACATGCATTTTAGGATGCTAAAGTAGACTGCTAATTGTAAACTAAGACAAAAAAAAACAAAGTACGTTGTTATTTTTTGCACTTGGGACAATAACATAATTACGAAACTTTTTAGCAAATAATCATCACAAAACCAAAATTACCAAATCAACATTCATTTTACAATGCTAAAGTAGATTGTTATTTTTAAACTAAGACAAAAAAACCAAAGTACGTTGTTATTTTTGACACTTGGGACGAAAACCTAATTACCAAAATTTTTAGCAAATAATCACCACAAAATCAAAGTAGATTGTTTTACCTATGATGGTTGTGATGGTTGTGGTGGTGTTTGCGAAGGCTGTGGAATCAGTGGGAGAGCAGAAGGTTTACGGCCAATACCTCTAATATGACCACATCACTCTCCCAATACTTTTTCAAACGCAACTCTTTCTTGAGTGGGTGTTAACGTACTTTCACCTTGACTTTGTTTTAACAGCTCTTCAACTAACCGATTCTGTAACTCCCAAAAGTGAGTAACAATTAAGTATAAATAAATATTTAATTATATGATAAAACTATAATTAAATACCTACATATTGTTGTTCTGCCTTGGTAGTAACAAATAGACCATTCTTATCGGTATGAGGTTTGCGAAATCTTTCCACTCTCTTAAGCTTCTGTTGAACTTTAAAAATTAGAGTATATTTTAAATAAATAATTACATGTATCGTACGTTACCTTCTTATAGCAAGTACTACTATATGAACTCGACCCCCCACGATTCACATTTGTTTGCAGTTGACGGGTTTTTTTATTCCTTTCTGAAGCAACTATGTGTTCGTCTGTTTGGAGAAATTCAACTGCTTTCTTCCAGTTATGAACATCCATACCCTCTGGAGGGTCGGCTAATGCTCCCGGGATATCTTCATACCCTCCGACTAAGATAAAATATTCTTTTGCGTCAGCTTTACGTTCTCGATAACCTTTTAACAAAGCTGCTTGAAAACTCTCTGTCAACATATTAGTTTGTGCATCCTGGTACATTTGATCCAAATCAAACTTTGTCTAACAAAAAATAAATAAATAAATAAATAACCAAGTAAAAAAAAAACTATAGCTAACCATATAAAATATATTTAAATAAATAATTATCGCTAAATATTGTAATACGGTATCCTGTGTTGCAGGGGAAACTTTTTTCCAAGTCCATTTATCAAAAGGGACCATCTACCACATTGTTTTCCAACTTCTCGGGAAAACATGTCTTTCGGCTCTCCTACGGGATTAAATGTGATATCCCTATTATATTCCATGCTAATGGGTTTGCTCTAATTCCGTAAGATCTCTTTTTCAAGCTTTATGTTTTTCGCTTTGCCTCGAACTTTCCTTTGTGCAGGTTACTCAACTGCAAATGTAATTAGAAATTATTAGAAACAGTATTTATTTTATAATAACTGAACAAAAATAGTAAATAAAAATTCAAAATAAGATTTAGCATCCTGTTCGTGATGACCAGCACCTCTACCACCTGGGAGAGGTGGGTCCTCAGCTCCATCACCCTTGTGCCCACGACCCATAACATCAGCCATGGTATACATAAAGAAAAGCCATATTGTTATAATTTCCTGAAAAATTATAAGATATAAAAATATAATTTTTATTACAAATACACATTACATAGAAATAAACATTTACATAGGAATAAACATTTCAATTTAAACAAGAAATCCAAATAAAGTTCATATTACAAACACGTATTACATAAGAACTATTCTAATCAGAATCTTCCTCATACCCTTCAGTGTCTTCTTCGGTATCATAATCAGAATCGGTCTCACCGTAAT